GAAAACCGGGGGGGGGGGGGGGGAACGGAAGCAAAGTCTACATTATATTCAGATTCCTCTCACTGAGTAAAGAAAGAAAGAAAGAAAGTTAAAGCCTTTTCATCAACCTAATCAGCACTCATAACAATCAGGCAGAGATTATTTTCTCAGATCCCTTCCCTGCTCCCCCCTCCCTCCCCCAGCAGCTTGGAGACCATCAAATTCAATTGTTTTCTCTTAAGTCACTGCCAAGCGTTGCATGTTTAAAGACAGAAGACAGCTGAAAGAGATCAGAGAAGTTCCCCCCATTTAAAAGAATATATACAGATTAAAAATACTATAAGAATAAATAACTGATAAAGATGTAGTAGAGGCATTTGCTTCATTAGAATGTTCTCAATATTTAATCACTATTCAGAAAGGTGACATCTTTTTAAACTATGGCTCATTCTTAACTATACTGTTACAGCTGTACAAGCTCAGACTCTGAACAGCAGCAGCAGTGTTCTAGCTGTATTTTAAAGTTAGAGACTGAACCTTCTTCCAGCCTCTGACAAAAGGAACAGCTCCAGAGACCATTCACCACGTTCTGCCCATTTTCATCATTTAAACTAAACTCTTCTTTGTTTTTTTCTGTTGAGGCATTCTTGCTACAAATAAAAGTCCTGCTTTCATCTCACTTCCTTAGCTTTAAAAGCACCACTGCGGGGGCGGGCGGGGAGTTAATTACTAAATGAATGGTTGGTTGCTGGTTTTTAAAAACCAGCCAGCTTGTTTTTAAAAAGTTTAAAACATTTGGGATTTTTGTTTTGTTTTGGCTTAGGCATCCGCCCAATTTGTATTGGTTCCCAGATTCTAAGACCTCACATGAACACACAAAGTTGCCTTATAATTAATCAGACCATTGGCCTATCAAGACCAGTCTTATCTATTGTGATGAAGTAGCTTTCCAGGGTCTCAGGCAGAGGTATTTTGCATCACCTACGACCCCCCCCCCCCCCAAGCACATACTGATCCTTAGATATTCTTCAAACTAAAAAAACAAACCACAGTCTAAAGCAGATTGTTCATTCGCTCACCTAAAAATACATTGGATCCAAAAAACTACAAAATCCCACAGATCTTGCACAAGTGCCAGCAGTGGGAGATCACACAGCATTACAGCAGTTCTTGTACTTCGGCAAGTTGTTGTGTAAGAGGACAAATCCCTTTGGATCTCACTTTACTTTTTTATAAAAAGCTCTCACAAAAAGGGTTTACAATAGCCCTTTGTGAACAGGAGCTACCACATCCATGAGGAGGATACCTCTGGCTCCAACCCAACTTCAATGCAAACTATCTTTAATAAATATAATCCCCAAAGGTATTCTATGGCTGATACAAACAACAGGGCATTTATACGGATAAACTTAAAAAGGTCCTTTTAATATATATTTTCCGAAGTCATTAATAAGAAAGGAGGGACAGACTAAGAGGAGAGAGAATTCATAAAAGTTAAATTTTTAAATTTAAGAATTGTACCTCTTCCTCCTCCACCTGGAAGCACAGGTGAAAGTCTTAAAGGACCCTCCAATAAGGTTGGGGGGGAAAGAAAAGCTCTTGTTTCAGATGAAGGTCTGCCCATTGGTGAGGGTCCATATGGGGATTGCTCTGGAATAATTAAAACAAAATACTAAAATTCACAAGGTTAGCGTTAAAAGGTGTATATATAATTATTTATATCTCACCTCAGATCCTGTTTAAAACTAACTTGTAACACAAGAAAAGATATATAATCTTTTCTGGAATGAAAACCATTTTGGGAATGACGCTTCAGATTTGAAAGAACTGGATATCAAAATAAATTTATACTGTGCTGCAATCCACGGAGCTGCTAATCTTGCATGCATACAGGGCCAGCTATACTTCCAGTAAATATTTCTGCAAACTGAGTCAGGATCTCTTTATACTACAATAGGATACACATTTTAAAATGTACTATACCTCTGCCAAAGGCTCTAATTGGAACATGAAGAGCATAAGGATCTTTTCCCAAAAGATCACATTTAATTTCTGCTTCTGTTAATCTAAAGAAAGAACAAAGTTTTTTTAAAAATACAATCAAATCCATTCATGTTATGACTATCATATTTCTTTCTAGGACTCAGTTTTTCAATTCATGCAAGACAACATCTGTTAATGAAAGAAATTACAAAGACCAATAGTTAATTCATAAAGGACTACATAATTAAAATGCTAATAATCTGCTCCTAACATTTCTCATGCCAAAAAATAAGTGTGTGGTAAAATCACTTCCGAGGCTTTCCAAGCCATTATGTTGTTGCCATACCAAGAATGCAGAGGAATGATTGTGCTCACAGTGTGTTTTATGTTATAGAAGATGCTCACTGAGAGGCAAACTAGACTGGAGAGTGTCCCTGGATCTGACCCATGGATGCGGCCACTATTTAAAAGCCTCATAAGGCAATTAAATTAATTAATTAAAACGTTGCAAGGGCCTGAACGTGACTGGGCCTGCAGCGCAGCAGGATGAGGTGCTCTTGTTCCCCCACCTCCAGCACTGTTTCAAGTGCTGAAACAGCTGTGGGGGGAGGGATGTGCAGCTATATGTTCAGAATGGCTCATGAAACAGTGGAAAGCTAACTTTAGGACTGTTCCTTTTTTAAAAATAATTTTATTACACAATTACAAACAATTTAAAGACAAAACAGATTTGCATCAACAGGATACAAAAATATCAAAATAACAAATTAACTAGATAAAGATAATTACACCGGGGATAATAGCCGATAATGAATATATTGGTTGGTAGTAATATAATAACCTCAATATAGGAGCATAAAAGTCAACAGCCAGGACATAATAGGCTTGCCAAGTCCCCCCGGCGGGTGGGGAAACCCCCACCCCAGAGGCCTATTCCCCACTGCTGGCGGATCGGGCCCCAGGAGAAACCCCACCCCCAAAGCACGCAATGTGCACGTAACCCGGAAGTGACGCAACCACGCCGGGCACGCTGGGGGCGGGGCCACAGTCATCAGAGGGAAAACTCGATGGTTTTCCCTCAGATGGTGATGGCCCCGCCCCCAGCGTGCCCGGCGTGGTCGCGTCACTTCCGGGTGAAGGGGTTGCGGTGCGTGTGTGCTTCGCTCGCTCGCATGCACACTCCCAAAGCAGCGCTGGAGTCCCCCGCTCCAGCACCGCTTCTGACTTGGCAACCCTAGGACATAAACTGCCAAGTACTAAAACATTATCATTATGTCAGAAGGTTAACATTTTTTAATATTCAACATTGTTAGGAATGATTTCATGTGAGGCAAAATATGTAAAGACTGGGAACCAGATTTCTGGAAAACTGGAGATCTCTCCCCTTAACGTGTTATGTTTGTGACTTCCTGCTATTTTACTCATTATAAATTGGTCCCATTTTTTCCTCAAACCATAGAGACATTGATGGCGCTTTGTTGGAACACCACTTTGAAGGACTGTTCATGTTGAGACTCACTAGCATTTCAATATTCAACGTTTTCAAGTTTTAGTCAAAAAATCAGAAAAAGTGTATTTGATTTCTTTTTACAAAATACAAATGGGAAAACAAGGACAAAGACATGAGTTCTTAAATTGCAATTAGGCACCCAACGACAAAACAAACTTTCCTTAGTTGAACAATACTATTAATTTGGTCCTTTCCAAGATAACCAACTCAGTATTCCATTTAAATCTTAAAAAGTTTCACAGACAAAAATAAGCAGATTCAAGTTTTAACCCCAGTGAATTCAATATGATATAAAACTTCTTTCCACTGTAAATCTAGCTTAGTTAACATCTTCATTTTTTGTGTGAAAACCCTAAGTCTCATCACAATATAGAAATTCTTCACTTTTTCTAAGAATGCCCTCCTTCCAGGAATTCTTTTTTGTTTCCATATCTTGGCAAATACTAATCTTAGCTAAGCTCGAATTGAGTCCAGTAGTACCCTAGAGACCAACAAGATTTTGGGGGTATAACATAGGATTCTTATCTCACTACAGATGATAATTTTCTGCCCCTAGGCATTTCTCCCCTCCTCTAATCAAGCTGATTACATTCGGCATTGTACCTTGCATCCTGACTCCTTTCTCTGCAACACCCCCTCCCATCTTCTGATTAGAATATAAGGACTCAGGGATCTCCATTCCTACTTATCTCTGACAAAGGGAGCTTTGACTCTTGAAAGCTTGTCCTCTAAAAAATTTGTTGGTCTCTAAGATGCTACTGGACTTGAATGTAGCTCTTGTACTGTAGACCAACATGGGTGCCCTCTAAAACTAAGCCGCTGGCACTACATATAAAGCAGGCACAGAGAACTCTTGGAATAAATACCACATCATTTAACAAGAATAGTTCTGGTGCAGAAACAACCTTGTATCCAATAAATGTAGCTCTTGTACTGTAGACCAACATGGGTGCCCTCTAAAACTAAGCCGCTGGCACTACATATAAAGCAGGCACAGAGAAATGCCACATCATTTAACAAGAATAGTTCTGATGCAGAAACAACCTTGTATCCAACCCAATACCGTATGGCAGCATTATGGCAACCATTTTCCAGAACTTCTCTGCTCTGATACAATTCCACTACATTTGAGTAGCACTGTATATAAGCAAGCCTGTTGCCAGCAGTCATTTGTGCTGGCAACTGTTGTTGTCAGGACCTGAATCCTTGCATCTCTGCTCCAGACCTTGTGGACTTCTTATCGGCTTGATCCTCGGCTCTTGACCCTCGGCTTTGTTGACCTTCGTTCATCTCTGACTCCTCTGGCATCATTGTGATTTATGGACTTGAAACCTTGGTATGTCTGACCTTGCTTCTGGACTGTGATTTAAACCTGCTTGAACCTTGCTACCTGATTTTCTCGGCTTGACCTCGGACTGTTCCTGGACTTTGGCTTACTTGCGTCACGCCCCCTGGTCCTGCCGTGACACAGTCCAAAAGAGCGACTGTTGAATGAAACCCTCAATGATAGCTGGAATCCTTCCCCTCCACTTTTGTTTTCACTGCTACTGTATTAATACAGCTGTGGGGGAAGCTGCCATCTGGACAAACCTTCTATTCGAAACAATCTCTCAATACGTTTGAAGCACCTCATATCAGTGGAATAAGTGGGTTGGTTTTTTTTAATTGAAAGATTGGTTTTGCAGTAACATGTTGTTCCACAAACTGCAAAATTATCACAGGACAGACTGTCTTTACTGTTGGGTAACAGCGAAGTACAGCCAAAACATTTATCAAAATGGCATTGAAGCAAGGCCAGAAAGCAACTGAGTAGAGCTAAATATTGTAAAGGACATCGGATCCGAAGGACTGATTTTTAAATCCTACTCCCTGCCGCAGCTGGCAGCTCTAACAGTTTCAGAAGTATTCTCTATCAAGCAAATGAGGCAAAGCTGCCCAAATTTCACCTCTGTTGCCTGGGCAAGTCCACACTGCCACTCTGACCCTGGAGTGCTGCACTAAGCTCTGTGGGAAGCCTTGTTCCCCTCTTTGTTCTCACCCCGCCCTGAATGTGCTTCTGCTATGTGTAGCAGCTCTTCCAAAACACAACTGCAGCTGTGTTGGGTGTTATCACCCTCCCTGCACCTGGGTCCTCTTCCCTGCTACCCAAGTACCACAGAACTATAGCACCCAGCTTTGAAAGACAATTATCGCCAAGTGGTAAGGAAAGACACTGTTTAAAATAGCACATCAAGGATTCCTAGCATTTTAGTCAACAGTTCAAACCATTAAATGAGTAGCATGCATCCATCAGGATTTGCAACAGCCCTTCACAGACTAAAGCTTCAATTAACATGTAATCCTGGAGTTGTGGGTTGTTTATGAATATCTGTGGTACACAGGAACAAGCACACATCTTGAAAAAATCGAGATGTGCACTAATCCCCTGCTGCACACATCCAACAACAGTCAGCAGAGCACATTTCAAACAGATTCAAGAGTTTTAGTACTTGTTACTTACCCAATTGTCATGAGCTTTCTTCTCATGTGACATAATCTGTTAAAGAAAATTACTTGTTAGATCAGCGATACCCAGGCCAAACCATTCCATTTCTACCTTTTCATTCACTAGGGTTGCTGCCCTGCCACAATAACTGTGGCAAGACACTGATCCATATTTTAACCCAGTTTTCTCTCTTTTTTCAAAACATGCACAGTAAGCCCATCTGTCCCTCTGAATTGGAGTGCGCTGCGCTACTATAGGCCTACCCCAGTGTTTCCCTCTGTTCCTAAAATGTGAATTGTCTCTCTTTAGACCCCCCCCAGGGGCTCTTACTCCCCTTTAACTTATTTCCCTGTCCTCACTGCATCCCCCACTGCTCAACTATCCCTCCCACAGGGCCCTCTGCACCCTATTAACCCCGAGTGCCCTATAGTGCTCATCTTCCTTTCAGCAGCACAGGTTTCTCTGAACCCCATCTCTCTATCCTCTCTTTTATTATTCAGCTTGGTTTTTTGTTTTTTACTCTCTCCCTCCTATTTGCAGAGTTCAGCAAAGGTTTCCACACTCTCAGAAATTCAAACCAGTCCAAGATGCAAGAGAGCCACCGAGCCTGCCAGGAAAAACTGGCAGGTCCCCCCCTCCACCACGTGCCTCTAAATCTAGGGGAAAGGAACATTGTAGGTATAGAAACGCAGGCATTCTTGTCCCCATATGCAGAGTCTCTGAAGGGCTTGAGCTAGCTATGGATGTTTCCACAAAGAGGCAGGAAAGGCCTGCAAATACTGGGTATTTGGGATTTCCTCAAAGATGCCATTGGCCCATCACTTTCTGTTATGCAGACCCGTATAAGATGGTATCTACAGTATGTTCTGCTTAAAGGTAGGCTTACTAAGTCCTTAAGTGAGATGATGCATAATTAATTTGAGCAACGCTGTTTATTAAAAAAAAGGTGAAAGTTGCAATTCTGTCCACATTTATTTGGGAGTAAGTCCCACTGAACACTGTGGGATTTCTTTTTGAGTAAATATGCCTTGCCTTATGGAGCAAGGACAGCAATCCTCAGTATAAATTTTATAAAGTAAATCATCTGAAATTAATGATGGAAAACCTGGCCAGCCACATAAGGGGAGCACTAAGCTAGCAGCTTTTCTGCAGTTGAAAATTAACTGCAACATCTCAGTTAAGCAAGCAAAATATACATACCTGATTCTGATAAGAGCGAACTGTTCTTTCTAGCTCATCTTCTAGATCTTTTGCCCGTTGTCTGTAATGGGATCATTACACACTGAGGTTAATTTTGCACAACCAGCGTTTTATAAAAAGGAATATCATCATCAAGGCTTATCAAGAAAGGCACAGGGGAAATCGGTTAATATCAAACCTAACAGAAAAGGCAAAACCCTACAGAATGCACAAGTGGGGCGCTGGTTATAAGAGACATCCGTCTGCACAGAACTTGCACATTTCCTGTGCCTTATCATACCAAGTTTTAATGTTGTGTATTCTATAAAGGAAGGCAGAAACAAAATCTCTCTTTACCGGTAGGTTGCCAGTTCTTCAGCAGCATGATTAATCTTTTCATCAACTTTAGAAAGTTTTTCTTCTTTTTGCAGGCGTTCTTTTTCTTCTACAGTTAATTTCCTTACCAAAAGAGAGAGAGAGAGAGAGAATAACCCATAGTCAGCCGCAGCCCACTGATTTCTAAGTTAACCACTACATAAAGCATTAGAAATTATTCCGGCAAAACAAAACTGTGGAATGTCCCTTTGTCTGCATATTTCCATACTGACTATTAACCGTAAATAGTGTGGACTATCAATAATAAAAACCTTAATCAATAAATCAAAGGCTGCAATGTTGTACAGCAAGTCCTACTGATATCTGAGCAAGTATGCATAGGACTGGGCTGTAAGAATAGCTTGTTATTATTACTTGAAAAATGCAACAACTGCAATGGTAGTTCTGAAAAAAATCTCATCTTCCTATTTAAAGAGGAGGAGGAGGAGGAGAAGAGGAGAGATTGGATTTATACCCTGCCCTTCACTACCCGAAGGAGACTCAGAGTGGCTTACAATCTCCTTTCTCTTCCCCTCCCCACAACAGACACCCTGTGAGGTAGGTGGGGCTGAAAGAGCTCTCTTAAAAACTGCTTTTTAAAGAACAGCTCTTGACAGAAATATGGGTTGCCCAAGGTCACCCAGCAGCTGCAAGTGGAGGAGTGGGGGAATCAAACCCAGTTCTCCCAGATTAGAGTCCGCGCGCTTAACCACTACACCAAACTGGCTCTCCTTACCAGCACATCTGCACACAGTCTGTACACAGGGGCTGCCTTTTAAGATGTCTCAGAAGCTCCAATTGGTACAAATTGTGCCAGAAAACCACTACACCAAACTGGCTCTCCTTACTAGCACATCTGCACACCCTCTGTACACAGGGGCTGCCTTTTAAGTGACCTTAATAAACATTTTTAAAAAAAGATGTCTCAGAAGCTCCAACTGGTACAAATTGTGCCAGAGCAGTTCACAGAATTGAGACATGAAGTTCCAGTGCTGACATAAACCCACAAATGGTAAAGTCATCTGACAAGCTCAAATAAAACAGACACCACAACTGACTGAAAATTTAAAAATACAAATTCAATTATCTTAGAAAAAGTTAACGAGCGGTTAAGCCAAGAATCCACCAACACCAGTACCTGTGGAGGTTCATTTCATTTTCTTGATACAGCTCTGTCACGACTTTTAGTTTTTGCTGAAGCTTTTGAACTTCACTTTTGAAATGTCTCTTTTCAGACTGCAACGTGACATGTTCCCTTCGTAGATTTTCAATGCGTTCTGTCAGGATTAGAGTTGATTGCCAAATAATTAATATGGTAAAGCCACAGAATAAAGATCCTATTGGTATGACTTTTAGTTATAGCATTTTATTCTAATCGTGAATAAGCTCTGAGTATACTTAAAACTTACTGGGCCATATAACTCCAGGAGGCTTACACCTGAAATCCCTCTCACCCCATACACAGTTATTTGTCAAAGATATGCAGACGAAACTATGCTCTGATATCCTTCATGGCAGAAATGTGTTTAAACTACAGGGGGAGGGGGAAGAGTCAGAGACATGCATGCGTGCACACACACAAAACCACTACTACAATAAGCATGAAAACATTATTGTAGTTTTTGATGTTGATGCCAAACAATGCAGCCCTTATTTCAACCACCAATCTATGTATCAGGCTGCAGGCACTAGGCCAACAAGGAACTGCCATAAGCACCACAGTGTCCAAACTGCTGTCCTCATTATGCCTCTCAGCGTTGCAACCTGAGCCAGGTTTGCTCCCAGCATGACTCTATGTGGGTAAAAGTCCAGTATCTAAATTTGCAACTGTAATTGTACGGAAGACATGGCTGTGCAAGACTTAAGACACACAGCAGAATTTTCAGCAAAATGTTTTAAAAGGTTGGATCCCATTATCAGTTCCGCTGGCAGCAGAAGGCTCTTACCTGAGCCAGGTTTGCTCCCAGCATGACTATGTGGGTAAAAGTCCAGTAGCTAAATTTGCAACTGTAATTGTAAGGAATTAAGACTTAAGACACACAGCAGAATTTTCAGCAAAATGTTTTAAAAGGTTGGATCCCATTATCAGTTCCGCTAGCGGCAGAAGGCTCTTTATAATGGAGGAAAAAAGCCTGTGCGGACAGAACAGATCCATGGATCCAACCTATAAGACCAGGCCAAGACCCACCTAGTACCACATTCTCTGCAGGAGTCCCAAGCAACCACCAAGTTCTATGTGACATGCTGAAAATCCAGCTGGAAATTAGCCAGTCTACCTTTCCCACTCATGGCATGGCCAGTTTATATCTGCCATAATCTAAGAATAGGAGTAAGCAAAATGCACCACTGCCACAGGAGCCTACAGGGCAAAAAGCTCCATTCAGGCATCAACTAAACCACAGTGATTTAGAGTTTAAAATATGGCTTCCAAACATCAGTTTCCAAACACACAACAGGCAACCCATGGTTTCGTGCTGCCAATCTGTAACCATTTTACAAACACTTTGCATTTAACTTGAGACATTCTTTCCTGTCTTTACTGTGTATCTGCCTTTGAAGGTGAAGCAACCATTGTAATTATCAATCCAGACACCATTCCAAACATAGTTTATTTATTATATTTATTTATTTAGGTATTTTTACCCCGCCCTCCCCGCGAGGTAACACTAACTACTTCGCAAAACCACATCAAACCAGGAATTCTGATTCTTCTTTGCTGGTTATTCTTAACCATAGTTTGCCCATTCAGAGCAAATCATGGTTAATCCTCCTCAACTTCAATTTGATATGATCTCAGTCCAAATTAATCTAGACTGCTCAAGAAAGCAAGAAAAAACCATGTGTGGCAGAATGTGCCTGCTCTGGCTTGCAGGCCCTATCTCACCCTGCCTTCCTAGGTTTTTCTCCCTACCTGGAGAGGCCTTTCTTCCCCTCTCAGGTAGCTTGCTGCCACCACCACCTGACCTTTGTGTGGAATTGCCCAATGGGAGGTTCAGGACTCCCAGCTTCCCTTCCAAGTTCTGAGGCCTTGCTTCTGTGTCTCCTGGTCAACATGGGGACAGTTTACTGCCTTATGTACCCCTGGAGGAATAGCCACTTGCCAACTGCCTCCCTTCCCCCTGGCGCTCCTTTTTTAAATAGCATGTCCAAGACACTGGACATCTATGTGGTACAGAGAACTCTGTCAGCATCAAAAGTTATAAGTACTTATTAAAAAAAATGTTCACAAGCATACTTTTAGTACAGCACCAGACTGAGCAAGGGACTCCAAAAGAAATAGGTAAAATGCAAATCCTCTGTCCCTCTTTCTCTATATGCCCTACAGATGTTAAAATATAGGACAGTCTCCTTAGCTTTAAGAGACTACAGATCTCTACTTTGGTCACATTACCTTGAAGCTTCCTCCAGCTATTTGGGTAAAAACATGGTCAATGGCTGTCTTCCCCGTGGAGAGACCTGTGTGCACTCAAGAACTCAGCACCCAAGGAAAACAGACCTCTTTCCTGTTACAAGGAGTTTTTATCACCTCTCTTTTCCCCACCCCCTGACCTGATCAGAGAAGCATTTCCTAAGGCTTCTTCCTGAAGATTATTCCTGGATCCGTTTAGGGTTGCCAGGTCCCCCAGGGGGAAGGGGTTTTCCCACTCGACGGACCCCTTACCCGCCAGCCCGGATCCAGCCGCAAGGGGGAACCCCACCCCGAAAGTGCCAGGATCTATAAAATCTATGAGAAAAATTCACAATTACCTGCAAGTTCCTCCTTTGCTTTGTTTTCATCAGTTAGCTTTGAGTATATTTGATTTCTTTCAGTTTCCAATGATTTTAGGCTAGCATTTAGCTATATTAAACAGAAAAGATGAATTATGTACAATCATAATTCTAAAAACAACTATCAGTGTATTTTTGTTTTTAATGAATACATTCTGTTGTGGCTCCAACAGTTTTCATCTAATGGCAAGATAAAAGGTATGCATCATTCTATAATTAAATAGCATGACCAGCCCCTCCCATTATTACTGTTTTTAACCTCTCCACACCCACCATACAAATTTAGGCTTTTAAGGGTGATTTCTAGAAGCAAGTTACCTGTGTAAAAATAAACAATGTACTGATATACTGTCATGCTTTTTATTCTTTCAATAAACTAACTAAAATGGCAAGCCTCTATACACAGAATACCTTCTTATTCTTTTCTTATCTCCAAAGGTTTCTAAATTATTACAAAACAAAGATATTACCTTAGCAGCATAAATCAGCTTCCTTACAGTTCGTTTGTCTTGATCATCTAGTTAAGCGAAAGAAGGGGAGAACAGTTAGATATCACACACACACACACACACACACACACATACTACTTTGATACTTGAGAGATTCATTTTGGCCCATTACAAGTTGGCTGTTCTCTATTTAAGAAATCCAAGGGATGGGCAGAAGAGACCTTTCTCATCCAGAAAGCTCTAGTAAATTAAAAGTAGTCTTATTCATCTTCCGGCTTAAGTTAATTCTACTCAGGTTAAGGCAAGGCTGAACTGTACACCTGTTATCAAATTAGTTTTTCTGACAAGCTATACAACTAGAGGGGTGCTGTCTTATTCAGTTTGATTTTTAACTGTGCAGTTTTCCTCATGCAAACATCAAGTTATCCAGTCACAGAGCCTAAAATAAAACTAATAAATCAGTTAAAGCCCGTATGAGACAGCACTGCTTGACAAGCAATCCTAATGGACAGCAACGATAGTACAGAAAGATGTCATTTGGCAATCCATTCCACAGAAATGGAGCCACCAGTGGAAAGCCCACAGCCACAAAGTCTAGTGGTAATGGTTAACTTTTTCACCCCTGTACGGTTTCTCTAACTGAAATTCCTTTCTTCCCCACACTATTATTAACCATTTAAAGAAAAGAAAAGACTGGTCCTTTCAGAAAATTGAATGAGAACACTATCAGACACATGACAGCTAGTGTGGTGTAGTGGTTAGTGTTGGACTAGTTCACTAGGATCTGGGAGATCCAGGTTCAAATTCACAATCTGCCATGAAAGCTTGCCAGGTAACCTTGTGCCAGTCACTTATACTCACCCTAACCTACTTCACACGGTTGTTATGAGGATAAAATGGGAGAGGAGAATGAAAGCAGATAAAGCAAGCCACTTTGGGTCCCCACTGGGGAGAAAGATAGGGTATGAAGTAAGTAAATTTAATTTGAAACTTCAAGTATATTTCAATATATTTTATATTGTTGAGACACAGTTCAAACAAAATGTTTGCCCAGGACAACCTTGCCAATGTACATGGATTCAGGGATTCTAATTCCAGATCCATAAATTCAGGATTTCCATCAAGCACCTGATTTTCACTGTCTCCAAGCCAGCTACACATTATATCAAGCTAAAGTCTTAACAGGTCAAATTCATACTGTAAAATTACAGCTTGATACATCAGCAGTCTAAAACCTTAGGAGAAAATCTACTCTTCTACTTGGAGGGAAAAAGGCTGTTCCCTGCAAAAGCTCACACCACAGTAGCACAACACCATAAACTTTTTTCCCTTCCTTCTGTTGCTACAGGCTGAAATGCGAGCTCTTCCCACTTCCTCCACCCAGCCAAGAAAAACACAATTTTACCTAAATGTTCCCCATTTTCTGTTTCCTTCTTCATATCGTTATCCCAACAGTTGTCTTCAGTATCATCATGTTCTCCTATTGCACTGCTCCAGTCTTTCATCTTCAGCAAGCATTCAGTCAGCGACTGCGTGTTAGTTAGCAAAAAACAGGAATGAATCTTTAGCTTCACACAAAGCAAGTTCAATGTCTTAAACTAATTTGTAAAGCACTTGACCATGAGTATTTTGTTGAACACAGCTGTCTTCCCTCACCCAAATAAACACCATGGAAGCAAAACAAAACCCACAAACCACTTTTGGGCTCTGAGTAAGTAAAGTTAACTCCCCTAGGAATCAGTGAAGCTATGCACTTCATCAATTCCGATGGGAGAGATCTATAGACCTTCAAAGATCCTGGCGGGTGAGGGGGCAATATGATGCTGTAAGGACAGTTTCCTTTGGTGTGTGCTAGAGTCAGGCACATGCAAAATTCATATACCTGTTTCAATTCTGAGGAACCACTGGCCATTTCTGAACTGTGGGAGGACACGCTGCCCCAACGTTTATTTTTCTGCATGTCTGTGTAGCCTTATTTAAGCCTGTCCAAAGACTGTGTAACCCCATTAAGCATTTTTATAATATCATACAAAACACTGTCAGCATCAGCATGCAATAACCCAAACAGTCTCTTAGCTCTTTTAATCATTATGCCACTTGCTGCTAAATGAGAGTATTTTACCTTGACTTGACTTTCTTTGTTTTTAAGGGACTCTTCCATATCTGCTTTAGAGGATTCAAACAGTTTTGTTTGTTCATTTAGTTCACTAAATCGTTCGTCCCATCCTTCAGCTTCTTGTAACAACTGGAAAGGAAAATATGCAAAGATCAGTATTTAATTTACAATTTCATCACAAACATAACATTACAGGTTTAATTTCTAAATCTTCAGAAACTGGGTCACTAATGCAAGAAAAACAATTTTCAGACTCAGGAACTTGATGTTTTACTGACATTCTGTATATTCTGCCTTTTTAATTTTTTATAGAAGTTCTAACACAGTTTGTTACACAAGACATTTAATGCCAAGTTTTATCTAACTGTCTTAAGGTAACAGAAACTATTTTGAGCAACAAAATGTCAAGAAACTGTTATTTCTAGCCATTTCTTGGCCTTTCAAATTTTGCTTTCAAAAACCTTGGTTCAGGCTTCGGACCTAGCAAAAGAGGCCCCTCTTTGGGAAATGAATAACTTGCAATTTCAGAGAAAGATAAGAGATGGGAGTTAGACACAGGGGCAAGTGAGATCATAGGGCCAGGAGTTTCAAGGCCAAGGACTGGGAGGGAGTTTCGCCTCCACATTCTATCAAATACCAAAGCACCAAAGTGGTGAAAGTTTTGCTAGGCAGAACCATTGAGAAACACACATTACACTTACTCACATTTAAACACACACAAAACCAGTAAATCAGGAGGATTTTAGCCTAGCCTTTTCCTTACCATACTAAAAGAAGAAGAAGAACCAGGAGGAGGAGGAGATTGGATTTATATCCTGCCCTTCACTTGGAGTCTCAGAGCGGCTTACAAACTCCTTTCCCTTCCCCTCCCCACAACAGACACCCTGTGAGGTGGGTGGGGCTGAGAGAACTCTGACGCAAACTGCTCTTTCAGGTACAGCTGTGCCAGAGCTTGTGACTGACCCAAGGTCATATCAGCAGGTGCAAGTGGAGGAGTGGGGAATCAAACCCGGATCTCCCAGATTAGAGTCCGCACACTTAACCACTACACCAAACTGGCTAAGTACAGGGGATTTTTATATTGGAGAGCAGTCTGCTATTCAACCCTACCTGCAATTTGAAATCCCCCCAGCTTGTAAACCTTTTACCACATACATGCTGTAATGATTTCTGCTCTTTTGAAATCTAACAAATCGTTATTCACAGTGCTGTGTTCCTGAACAACAGAAAGCATATTCTTTTAGTCTTGTTAAAAAGCTATCAAAATGCAGGTAATCTCTCACTTTTATTTATGACAGTTTTGGTGAAGTTCTTCATAGTCTATGGATTGCCCCTTGTGGAAATAAGGGGATTATTCCCTCCCCCCAAGCATTACTGCAGACAAATTGTAATAGCAAAGGTGCTACCAAAAAGGAAAGGAATCAATACTAACAATCTAATACTAATGTCGGAAGTGTGCAGAAGGGGGAAAAAGTATAGTTGCAATAAGTAAATTAGACACAGGTAGAAAGAAATAAAGGCTATGGAACTTGGAGCATCAAGCTATTCATTAAAGAAGTGCTCAACTGCAAAATTCAACCATTAGCAGCCTGTATTTGGCCACATTTTCCATTACTGTTCCATCTGGTTTTCATCAACTATATACTTAGACTTCAGAAGCAATTGTAACTGTATAAATTATTTCAAATAATTCCACAAAAAGGAAAGAACACTGCAAAAATCACACCACGGAACAGACATATACCTGCTTTTCACTTTCTTGAAGACGGCTGTTTTCCTCTACTGCATCCTGAACAGACATCTTCAGTCTCTCTCTGTTGATATCGTATACTTTTAACGTGGTTTTAGCCTACGTGGTAAAGAACAAAATAAGATGGTTTTACAGTTAGTATACATAAAGACACACAGTCACTTCTCCATCTTTGGATATATCTGTTCATCCTAATAGAGAAACTTGTGGCACTAGACCAATTTATGGTACCAGAAGTTTTCATGAGCCAGAGCCCAATTCATGGTAGTCTGTTGCTTCTGTTTTGTGGGGATGCTCTGAGGTTTGTTTTTGGACACTGACCTTATCATAAATACAGCTCTTACCAATACAGTACAGTTATGTATATGCAGGGTTGAGAGAGACTCACAGTGCAGACTTATGCAGGGTTACTCCAGATTCACTGAAACCAGTGGGCTTAGACTGGAGTAACTCTGAAGAGGATTGCACTGTGAAAGACATACTAAAAGGCAGTTCTGCTAGATCTCAGCAAAAAGAAAAATCCATCTCATCCATCATCATTTCCCCCCCACAGTGGCCCAGTAGGCAGCCCAGGAAACCCATAAATTGGTCAAATAAAAGTGACCTCCAGGTAGCCCTGCTACAGGGATAAAAACTGCATGCAATGCCTATACCACTACTCTGAATGTATTTATTCATGTAATTTGTATTTATTTATTTTTATCTCATCATCTCCTTGGACTTAAGGCAGCTGTACCATTATTACACTATTACTACACTGTACCATTATTACACTATTACTCACTCATTCAACCTTCTAATCTTAGCTTTCTGGGATTAGAGAAGTAAGGCAAAGTCCATGGACCACCAGCAAAATACTGTTCTGTTAAGCAGGCTACACTACAAAAACTGTCTTTCTCCCTTCCAAATGAGACTGGATGATACAGCACTACACTGTACTTCATAGTGCAGTGCTACGACAACTGTAAAAAAGAACACCTTTGGGAGACAGAGGAAGGAGGAAATCTGCCCGTTTCCCTTCTCCTTCTTGGAGAATGTACAACAAGTGCTCTATTGAATGTAGCAGAATAGTGACCACTGTTGAAATGATCTAAACTAACATATACTAGTGCAGAGGTCATTTCCTGCAGGAGCGCACAGGAGCAGAGCTCCGGCAGTAAAGAGCCCAGGGGATGGGCACATGCAACAAGCTCCACCCCCTGCTCCCAGCAGCCCTCAGTCAGAGCAAGAAGCAGCCAGGTAAGTTGCAGAGCCCCCTCCCGCTCCTGGTCCAAAACAGTCCAGTGGCACCTTTAAGACCAAGTTTTATTCAGATACAAGCTCTCCCTCCTCTGCGAGGACAGATCTGCACATGTCCCCCCCCCCCAATAGCTAGCAATACAAAACAGTCCAGTGGAGCCTGCGCGGTGGGTGTTGCCTTCTGACACACTTCCAGTGATGTCAGGGGGTGTGGCATATGCACATAAATTATGCTAATGAGTTATGCTAATGAGCTCCTGCACCTCTTTTTCTACAAAATGACCCCTGTACTAGTGTATATACTAGTGTACTAAAAAAAAATAGAATTCGGACCAGATTCAGGTCCCCACTCTGCTGGATGACCTTAGGCTGATCACACAGTCTCTGCCTAACCTATCTCACAGGGTTGTTGTGAAAACTAAAATGGAGAGGACAACAATGTGACCTACTTTAGGTCCTCATTGAGAGAAAGGCAGGGTATAAATGAAATAAACAAATAAAATTTAAAAAACAACAACAGACATGCTGGCAATAGGGAAGTATTTCAGCAGAGAGGGCCATAAAGCATTTTACGTTAGCTAGTTACAAGACATGCCAAGAACAATGAAAAATTTTAACAGCATGGTCCAAGGTGCATGTTGAAACAATGGGAAAACTCCTAAGAAATTTATATATAGATGTAAACTTTGGCTTACTTCAGCTATTTGCTTATAGATAGATGTTGCTTCACTTTCTAAAGATTCCATTCTTCTCTGTATTTCAGTCATCTAGAAAGAAATTTTTGAAAAATTATATGACTATCCTCTAAATTTTGGCTGATACTAACTAGTCAAAATAATTATAGACTAATTGTATTGTAGAATAATTGTAGACTAATATTTCCTATAGAAATATGACTATTTAAAGGAAAATAAAACAAAAAGCAAGGCAGAGAGGAGTCGAGAACATGACTTGCCCTGTTCATGCAACCTGAGTGGGGCAGATCATGTTCTTGACTCCTCCTTGCCTTGCTTTTCATTTTATTTTCCTTTAAATAATCATATTTCTATAAAAAAGGTGGAGAATCCCTTCCAGCAGCAATTACAGCTTTCAGTGCTAAGGTGTTGTCCCAACTATTGTGAAGCGGCAATCTGGGTCCATAGGATAAATGAGACTGTAAATTGGACACTGAGTCAATTTTTACATCAGATCTGTGGGATCCTGAAGTATGTAGCTAGTACTGCCCTTAGACTGGAATTTGGCCAGCATTCTGTTGAATCTAGAACTTGGATACTAGCATTAAATATGAAACTTAAATAGTGTTCTCTGAGGATATTATATTGAAAGAAACAAAATAATTTTCCAGTTCATAGAATAAGGCTATAATAGACAATCTGAATATCATACAATGCCCAGAGAAAACAGTTTCTGTGCTAGGGTGGCTTTTAGCCCATAAGACTATCAACCAGTTGATTAGGAAGATTGATATCAATAGTACTATCTGCTGAGCTAGGTGTGTTTGCTCTGCACTCCACATGGGAATCCCACCACTCTTTACAATCCCAAAATACTTTTTTAACCTTTAAATCCCCACTTTCTACTCTTCACAAAAAAACAGCTGAGCAACCTCCATTTCTGCTCCCCGTTGCTATGAAACAGGGGGACCAAACCAGAGGGCTAAATGGCTCTATTTAATCCTCCAGTTCTGCTCTCCCCCTCGAAGCGGCAGGGAGCAGACACGGAGGCTTTAAATGGCTCAGAGCCATTTAACCCACCAGTTTTGCTCCCTACCACTTCAGCACAGGGAGGATAAAAACGGAGTCATTTAACCCTCTGGGAGGCATTTCACCCCTTCCCTTCTGCTGGCTTGGACCCATTTAAACCCTCCATATCTGCTCCCCACTGCTTCAAGAGGGGGGAGCAGATATGGAGAGTTTAAATAAACCCTCCAAATCTGCTCCTCACTATTCGAGAGGGGGAGCAGAACCGAAAGATTTAAATGGCTCCAAGCCATTTAAAGCCTTCATATCTGCTCTCCGCCATTTCAAGAGGGGGAGCAGAACTGGAGGATTAAACAGAGCCATTTAACCCTCTGGTTTTGCTTCCCCTGCCTCAAAGCAGTGGGGAGCAGAACTGGAGGTTTTAAATGGCTCAGAGCCATTTAAACCTATTAGCTGAGCAGTGGGAAGCTCCTGCTCCTCAGCTGTTTTTTGTGAAGAGCAGAAAGTGGGGATTTAAATGGCTTGGAGCCATTTAAACCTGTTCTGCTTTTCATGAAACATCACAAACTGCATCAAAGTTTATGAAAGTTCTCATGTTCACAAACATGGGCTCACAAACCAGCCGAAGTTTGTCATGAACTGTGGTTCATGAGCCAGTTCATGCCTATCCCTACTGTGAAATTAATGTATTGCTTTGAAGTCATGAGCCAGTTCATGCCCATCCCTACTGTGAAATTAATGTATTGTTTTGAAGTTTGGCCTACTTAAAATCTTGTATTGTCACTTTTTTTTTTTTTAACTGTCGTCAGTTTTGAATATTTTAAACCACATTTATCCTAGCTTTCCCTGTTTTGGTAGTATTTTGTTTTAAAAGAGGATCAGGTTAAACATTAAAAAAGTAATACTAAAGCTGTAATCTTATGTATACTTATTAGCAGTAACTCTGTAGGACTTACTTTCACTTAGAATGGGTTAGTTAACTAAGAAAGCATTAAGTTGAGTATTTTGTTTTAAAAGAGGATCAGGTTACACATTTACTTGGACATCCAAGAATACATGATAGCCACTTCCAATTAGTTAAATTCAAGAACTGACATGCTTCTTTCATGAGAAATTTCCTCTATCACCCTGAATTATTAATTTCAAAGAGCTGGATAACTGAGAGACTACAAGTAACACTTAAGTTAGATATCACTGTCTTTGGAATATGTACACTGTGTTTTTAATAAAAATATTATGTGAGAATAACTGGCTCACAATAACTAGATCTTATCCACTGAAAACAAAGATTAGGGGAGCAGGAAACTTTCTAAAAAAGTAAAATAGTTCAAAGAAAGATTATACTATGATTTTTGTATTTTAGGTCACATAGGCTGGCAAAAAACATACCAAGTCATCTTGTTGGGATCGTTTAGACTTCTCTTCTTCCAGTTCTCTTTCTAAACATTCTATTTCCTTCTTGAGCACAGAGTTTGAGCTGCTCAGTTGTTCACATGCTGTCTAAAGGATATAAGTTTCAAAAGATTATGTATGGACATTTATCACTGCAAAGTATAACCTAGAATACTATAGCAGGCAATGAACAAATTTATAAGTATTGCAGAAACAGTGAACTCCAGAGAGAAGGCTGAATTAGGATGTATATTTTACATCAAATTGCAAATTATGTATTAAGTCTACCCTAAAAAAATAGGGCTGCAGTTACCTGTAACTGTTATTCATTGAGTGGTCTTCTGTGCAGGAAATTAACTTGCCTGATCAAACTGTGCAGGAAATGAACTTGCCTGGACAAAAAAGTGCAAACTGCCAGGATTGCATCTCCCCCATTACTAACACTGCCTATCTATTCACTTCTGGGCACCATACCTTTAAAGCCTTAAGTGGTCTAAAATCCAGGTGGGACGGTGGGACGGTAACAGCGTTCCCTTTAAAGCCTTAAGTGGTCTAAAATCCAGGTACCTAAAGAACTATGTCCATAAACCAATCAACTCAGCTGAGGCCTCTATTTACAGGCCCCCACAGTTTTAAGTGGGCCGTGGTGGCTCAGAGGTTAAGACGCTGAGCTGCAGACTGGAAGATCTGTAGTTTGGCAGTTCGAGACCCTAGTGCTGCATGACAGAGTGAGCTCCCATCTCTGGCCCCAGCTCCTGCCAACCTAGCAGTTCAAAAGCAAGAAATTGCAAGTAGATAAATAGGTACCGCTTTGGTGGGACGGTTACAACGTTCCGTGCGCCTCAGTGTTTAGCCATGCTGGCCACATGACCACGGAAATGTCTTCGGACAGCGCTGGCTCTTTGGCTTAGAAACAGAGATGAGCACCGCCCCCTAGAGTCAGATTCGACTGGCTATCGAGCAACGGAAACCTTTTTACATTTTTAAGTAGATAGCTACTAGAGAAAAGATTTTCTCTGTATTTATCTCTGACTTTGTAATACTGACTCCTCAGCCACTGGCCTATTGAAAGATTCCCCCCCCCCCACCTTGGACAGCAGATTTTTATTTTAGCTCTTGTCCACTGATTTGATATATACTAGCTTGTTGTGTTCTACACTGTTCTATTAAGGTATTTTAGATTTTTATATTGTTATTTTATATTGCTGTTCAGTGTCCCTGGGCCTAAAGGAAGCATTTAAATAATTAAAATAAAGAAATATTTTCCCCATCACCCTGCACCCTCCACCAAATGTACTCCTGAGATTCAGGAGACCGTTGGGAATAGCGCAGGATGCAGCACAGGGGTCGGCAGTAGTAAGGAAGAAATAGATGGCGGAAAATGCTCCCCCACTCATGAGAACAGAAGTATTGTACTCACAGAAGGGGAAGCTTGGCTCCAAGCCAATGTCCAAGTGAAAGATACACATTTTCTACTACCGAAAAGCAAAACTGTGCAAGCTGAACAAATCATGATTTGCTTATTTTGAATACCTGACTCTGCTTCCTGTTTATATTCTACTAAGACCTATGGGAAATCCTGACACCCCAGACTTTCTGAACACCCAAAGATTATCTCAGGCCCTCCCTATTTCTTTTAAAATTTCAGCAGATGTTTCAATACACTCCCAGAGCCTAAAGATAGTATATAAATAATTAAAATAAAGAAATATTTTCCCCATCCCCCTGCACCCTGCCACTGAAAAAAAATAAAAGCTGGGGTTTTCAAGATCCTAGATTCTTCCTGCACAGCAAAATTGTGTCCAGATTACTGCATGTACATTGCCTGAACAATGAGCAACAAATTTAGTAAGTATGTTGTTCCTTCAGCTATGAAACTGTAGAAGTGAAAGAATCTATGTATGGGATTTGTTATTTTTCCCTCTAGAAAAAGTAATAAAAGCTGCCCAAAGCACAGACTTATTTTATAAAAATGTACTTTATAAAATTATACAAAAAATACTTTTATGCCCATATAATTGTTACCTTAGAATCTGATGCACTGGTTGACTCACTTAGAAGGCCAGCATCTTTCAAGGTGTTTTCTAACTCTTCATACTAAAAAGAAAAAGATCCATATATTAGAAGTAAACAGAAGAAAGGAAGAAAATCAGTGGACATGGACTTCAAATTGTTCTGTGAGCACAAGTTCCATTTTTTCCACCACTTTAACAAAGAGAGTATTCAAAAACTAAGCTGAACAAACTGAGCAAATTATTAGCAGGTTACGAAAGAGAATGTTTTTAACTGCACCATCTGAAGGGCAAGCCTGTAAGCAGGCTTTATTTATTTATTTTATTTATTTATTTATATTTACATTTATATCCTGCCCTACCCCGAAGGCTCAGGGCGGCTAACAGGGACACAACCTGCCAAGTTAAAACAATAACATATAGTTTAAAAACAATAAATTACAACAAAATATAAACAATTTACAGCAAATTTCCAACAAGAAGGGAAGATCTTAACCTCACATAGCTACCGACAATCTCATCCTCAGAGCCGTGTCCAGCGCCACGCTCCACCCTTGGGGGGCCAGGCAATTAGATGTTAATTCGCTAGGGCATAGGGGGTACAGATGGAATAGTGATGGCGGCGGCTCCTGTAGTGGCGGCTCCTACTCATACGCCTGGTGGAAGAGCTCCGTCTTACAGGCCCTGCGGAACTGCACAAGGTCCCGCAGGGCCCGGATCCCCTCCGGGAGCTCTTTCCACCAGGTAGGAGCCGCCACCGAAAATGCCCTAGCCCTAGTCACAGCAAATCTAACTTCTCTCAGGCCTGGAATTTCCAGGAGATGCCTCCCTCCCAACCGAAGTGCCCTTGGGGGAACATATGGAGAAAGGCGGTCCCTCAGGTAGGCTGGACCATGGCCATTTAGGGCTTTAAAGGTCAAAACCAGCACTTTGAAGCGAATCCGGTACGCTATTGGCAGCCAGTGCAGCGCTTTCGGCACAGGCTGAATGTGGTCCCTCCTCAAGAGACCCATCAACAGCCTGGCCGCAGCATTCTGCACTAGCTGCAGCTTCCGAATTTGCGACAAAGGCAGCCCCATGTAGAGAGCGTTGCAGTAGTCTAGCCTTGAGGTGACCG